AGTCTTCCACTGGAACAATTTGATAATTTGCATAAATTTGCTCGTGGGTTGTTTTCTGTTTTTGGTACCACTTACTTGTGTGAGAAAACGTTTTCCTAGATGAAGTACACAAAGAATGTTTACAAATCTCAATCAACCGATGAGCATCTTAAATCTCTTTTGATAATTGGTACAAGTAAAATTGATCCACAACTACAATACTACAGTATTGTCGGTGGAAAATCACAATTACATAAATCTCATTAGTGTTTTTGTTTTACTGTGATTCATTTCAATTATTTGTTAGTTATTAATATGCTTAAACTTTAAATACTTAGGTTAAGTTTTCTTAACCTAAGTATTTAAAGTATTTTTTGATTTAAACAATTTAAACAATTTAAAGTATTTCTGATTTAAACAATCATAAATATATTTATCAGATATTGTATTCAATTGTGGCTTGTTGAAAAATCAGTTATTCACAGACTGAGAGTAAGAAAAATAATTCCGATTTCAATTTCTCGAATGTATTTCTTTCAGCGATTTGAAAATTTATGGATAACTTTGATTGGAATAATGAACCAATTACTATTACGTTACACATACCACTGAGCATTGAGATTATGAATATGTTTTCCAATTTAAAGTAACTTATGCAAGTTATTAAACGATTTTGATGTTTTTATAACATTCTTCAGTGCATAAAATTCATTTTAATGGTTTAGTTTTGCATTAACAACCTTTAATAATAACCAGAATAAGTATTCAATTATTACATGCACTCACGTAAGAGTTATAGAACAAATTTTTATGTAAGTCAATAATTTCAATACAACTTTCTATATAATATGAAAAATTAAATCGAGTATTGATTAGCACATATAAATTGATATGAGGTGTTAAAAATCTACTTTCCTTTAGATATTACGAAAAGTGCGAGGAACAATTTCAGTTGTGACGAATAAAAAAAATTACAATTAGGATCACAAATTATAAAGTATTCAATATTTGATTGTGAAATCTCCACAAAACACTTTTGGAAAGAAAGTAATTTTTTCACTTAATGAAGTTTTGAAACATTCATCTCTCCCAACGTACCTACACCGTAGAAAACAACTACTTTCCAGGCTAATACCACGATGGATATTGAATTA